TCAGCCAGGAAAAAGAAGGATTTTTTTACTGGAGTATTTTTGCAAATCTTCACTTGACATATTGTCTTCCCAGCATAAGTTAGCAAACAGGAAAAAGAGAAAACTTTGTAGCTACAAAGGAGAAAAAAAAGAAAATAAAATTATAATATACTATGTCCAGTACAGTATATTTGGAGTTAACCACTCAGGAACTTGTGAAAATCCATCCTTGCATGAGAAAAGGAATTATAATAATTAATGTCATATTAATGTGTGTATAGAGGGGTTTTTAAGTTTTTTGGGGTTATTTTTTTCCTTATTAATGTGTGCATGGAGAGGTTTTTAAGTTTTTGGGGTTATTTTTTCCTTATTTTAAAAAAAAAAAAGTCCTCTGTGCTGGCCTTCAGAAAGTGAACTGAGCAGCTTCAGAGTGGAATATCTCTGGTGTCACATTCCTCTTTACTGAAATCTTCTAAAATATTAGTCAAAAATAGATTATAAATAATTAATGTTCCTAATTAGTCTTGTAGCTTCCAGATCTTCCTGCCAGGCTCAACTTTAAATCTCATTCTGGATAAGAAAGATGAACTTGGCAAAGAGTCAAATGTGAACAGGAGATCTGAGGCAGGTGCATGTTGAAGGTGCCTGACTTTGTCATATTTATAAGAATGATGGTTTATCTCTTCTAGAACATGATATTTTGTTATTATTGTAGCAGATTTGATTTTTACTTTTTTTTTCTTTTTTTTTTTTTTTTTTTTTTTTTTTTTTTTTTTTTTGGTTTTTTGGTTTTTTTTTGTTTTGTTTTGTTTTTAGGTTGAAAGAAAATTGTCTGTAGTCTGCAGTACCTATGAGGTGTCAGTTCAGAGAAGGAAAAATTACCTTGTAGGACTAGGGAATTCTTCCCCTAGGGTTTAAACTTTACAGGGAGTTGGAGGATAGTTCAGGAAATAAAAGGTTTTTATACAAGCAAATTATGAAGTTCTGCTATTTAACCAACAGTATATTATACATAATATAATATATATCATAATGTGTATTCTTTCTTATAGAATACATTTTATACATTATGCATCTGCAGGAATATAGACATGTTAAAATACATGTTAAAATACATGTTAAAATCATAATGTGACCTTTGGAAAGGGAACATGAGATCCATGGCACTGCCAGCATGAATTCAGGCAGTGCAGAAAAATAAGAATGGGGAGCATGCATGGGAAGAATGTCAATAAAAGAATTTGAGGAAACCAAGTGTTAGAGCAGAAGTTCATGATAAAAATTCCATGCTATTTATGAATATTGGAAAGACTGGAAAAGGAGATTAGGAAGAAGAAAAATTCTCATTTTTATGTGCTTGAACACAGCATTGAAGTCATCAGTGACCTTTAGGCTGTGTGTAATATCACGTTTTTTCTGGTAAAACATAATGTGCAGTGGGAATGGTACAACCATCTGAAATGAGGATAGTGGTTATAGTTCTGTATTTATTACCTTAATTAATGCAAAGTCTCTCTGATTTTTGTTAAATGGCTAATTACAGGCAGTGCTGTATAGTGCAGTCTCTTGCTCACAGTGACTGTCAATGGTCCCAGGGTCATTTGGGATTGGAGGTAAAGAGGGAGCAATGGGAAAATTAACAACAATTTCGAGAACAACTTTTAGACTCATAAAAATAATGCCACCACACTGTGTTCACCTGCACCAGTTTTGCCCAGACTAGCAAAAGCAGCTACTTGACAAGACAGCTAGTTATACCAACTCTGCTATTTCTATCAGCTCTTAATCAAGTTGTCTCTTTTTCTCTATTAAAGCAGCCCCCTTTTCTTTTCCCCTGTTATGCTGATGGCAGGTACACTCGGATCTCCAAACTTTAATCACATCCATGAGGGCCATCACCAATTCAGCTGCTTGGCCACATGACACGGTTTGAACAAAGCAAGAGCAACATTCTCTGAGAAAAGCAAATTCGAGATTGGGCTCAAGCAAAAGAACCCTTCTGTTTAACTTGGCAAGGGAGCCTCCAACCTTCCTGTCACCTGTCCTGCATCACACAGTCTCTCTGCTTCAGGACATCACCAAAGCACAGAGGTGAGCTGTGGGAAATGCCTGTTGTCACAGACACAGCAGCCCTGGCTGCAGCTGCTCCTACCTGCTCACCCAGGCCTCTGGGATGTTGTGGGCAGCACAAACAGTGAAGCTCAGCTGGGAATTTGGGCTGATGTCTGCACGTGAAGGGCTCTTAGGTATGCTGGCAAGCTGGAAATTTGCATCAAAGCTGCTGCTGTAGACATGGATGAGGTGAGAGATGGCCATGGAGAGCTCAGTCACAGCAGCCTCTATTAACCCTGAGAGGAGACAGAGGAATAAATAAAGGTTAGCAATAGGTCATTTAGGAAGAACTATATTTATCCTAAACCATCAGTTATGGCTTTGAAATGCTTCCTAATAAAATTTAATTAAAATGACATAAGCTACAACTGAAGCCAATTAGCCATCTGTGTTTCTGAAGCCAGCCTCAGCTCCTTTCTGGTGTGTCATTAACTGACTTTCATTACACTGCTTTCAAATTAAGGCTTTTTCAAATTAAGCATTTTCAACTACAGCAAGCGACTGCATACCTCAGATATTCCATCTCAGTCTTTGAATTTCTGTGCTGGAAGGATTTTTATTAAGCAGGAATTTTGTCATTTCAGCAACTAAGGAGCTACTTACTTCAAGGGAACTGGCAAAGCAGCAGTGGAAGGGAGAAAAAGAACTGGTTAAATTTTAAGACTATAAAGCTGTTGCAACTGTAGGTAAACAATTAATAAAACATATAAAGCAGCAGCCACAACCAGAAAAAAGTCAACATTCAGGTGATAATATTACAGAGAAATGGGCACACTGGAAGACTTCTCTATACAAATAGATATGGAATGCAGGCTGTGCCCTATCTTATAGCACACCTTGATTTATGTCATTCCCTCTGGCTTCAGCACTGCAGTATTTTTATTTATTTATTTATTTATTTATTTATTTATTTTATTTTATTTTTTCTTCTGCAATTACTGGCTTTTATCCATCTTCCCTCTCTGTTTTTGGAGCAGCTTGGGCTTGCCAGTGTAAATTAAAATCCCCAGTCCTGGCAGCCTCCATCAAGTGAAGAGAGCTGTTAAGAGCACTCAATCCTCAAGCATGGGCTGGGTTGAGAGAGAAAGTGCCAGAGTATATTGCATTGTTCCAACATCAGGCTGATTTGTCTTCCAAGAGGACAACCCCAAATTCTCCTTTTTTTTTTTTTTTTTTTTTACACCTCTAACTCACATTTTTTCTACGTGCTCAAGAACCCACTCTCACCACCCATCCCAGCTCTTGGACTGTGCATTCCCTGGGCTTGTGTGGCCACTGAGGCCAGCTGGCATCTGTCAGCTCACAGTGTTTAGTGAAAGAAAACAGAAAAGAAAAAGAAGAAACAACCCAGGAATAGGAAAGCCTGAGACTCCTGATAGCTTTTAATACTTGGGATAGGAGCAGCAGTCCTGCCCAACATCAGATGTTGACACCACCACTCACTGGACTCAGACTTTGCCTTAAAGCCAGCAACCACCCAGAGTTATTGAGTCACAAAATGCATTGCAAACAGTGCAAAGAAATTATTTATCTCCGTGTGATAACAGACAAATTTTAATTATGTAACAATAGAAATACGCCTAAAATTGAAATAGTTTGACACATACTGAGGTTTGCTGCTGGAAATGCTGACAGGAGCTATGAGGACTGGCTAGAGTTCTACAACTTGTAATCTTGTAATCATCTTCCACATATGAAAATTGAATAATTTGAGAGACCAACAGGTTAAAAAAAACTCTGTCCTTCTACTCTCTCTCTCTACCACTTGGCTTTAATTGCCATTTTTATTTCTCCTCTTTAGTATTTCCACCATTTGTCATCCTTCACCACAATAGTTTTGAAAAAAATCTTTGGCTCTAGTGATTTTTTTTCCCTAGAACACCATTTAATTCTCATTCCTGGATGTGTAATCACTTAGTAACTGCAAACCAAATGCTGAATTTGCAGTGAATTATTTTCAATTTTGAGAACTTACCCATAGGGATACACATGGAACCTTCTTTAGAGGTCCAGAAAAGGACATAGCTGAGTATTATCTCAACCAGTACTTTATCTCAACCATTATATTCCTTTATCTGAAAAGTATCACCCTATTTTCATTAAGGACCAACAGCTCCTTGAGAGATTCCTTGTTTCCAATCTGTTCAGAGTGGTTCACAGGCAAGTGTGGTATAATAGCAAACCCCTTATTTATGAAAATTGGCCTATTGAAGTCAGTGATTTCTGAATAGAAACTTCTCAGCATCTTCTCCAAAAGAGGGTAAAAGGTAATTCAGGATCTGTGAATGTACAGTTTTAACACAATCTGTATTATAGGTGCTTGTATTATAAAGCAACATTTCAGATTTTGTCTCCAGAACAAAAAATAATGTTTTCTATCTCAGCCAAGCCACAGACAGAAGAGAATACTTCATGAACAAAGGATTTCCAAATAATAAACTCAGGAGAAAACACACAATGGAGTATTTTCCATAACAGAAAATTTACATGTGCCAGACAAGGAAGGGATTAAGAGGCAAGGTGCCTGTCACTACATCCAGGCTGTCCTGTCCATTGACCATGTTTGCAGAAAACTGATTTTCATGGCTTACCTGAGCCACAAAACTGATGCCAGGTATGTAAAAAAAAACAGACAAAACCAAACAAAACCCCTCAACTTGCTGTAACAGCACGGGAGGGGTGAAGGCAGCAATGGAACAACTGGGGGAAATGAGTTCAGCTGCCAGCCAAGGCAGACAAATGTGCTTCAGCATCATTTATCTCATCATTAGCAAATGCAGAATGAAGATATTTTCAGGAACAAATGTCCAAGCAAATGTCCAAGTATGATCCGGTCTGCAGGTCCAGGATTTTTCTTTTTTTTTCAACATTAATGTTCTTGCTAGCTCTCAGTTATAGAATAGTTTATGGTTTCTGTGCCAGAATCAACCTTTTCCCAACCCCCATCCTTCAGTGATTAGGACCAGCAGCAATTAACTGAATTAGAGGGAAACATCTTGGCTAGTCTGTAAACATCCATTACTCACAAAACTTGGTCAGCATTTTCTCACTCTATTTTAATGAGCTGCTGAATAGGATATGGTAGGCTGAAATTATATCACCCATTCATGAAGCCAGGGAAATTTTACTGCTTTTTATGCCTTTTAATAAATCTCAGCTGAGAAAGGACTGATGTTTCACTCATATACAAAGCACAGGCCAAGGAGCTCCTTAATCAAAACTTATTTTCTAGAAAGGAGTCCCAGGCACACCCAGTGTGTCAGAGACAACCAAAAGACCACATTGCAAAGTGAACCCTGAGCAAGATTAATAATCCCAAAACTCCAACCTCGTGATTTATTTCTGGTGTGAAATTCTTCTCACTGAAGGTGAGGAGAACTCTTGACTTGCAGAAATGAGATGAGAACGAGGGAAGTGAACTTCAGCCACAGCTGCCAGAAATTCTCATTTCTGCCACATTCCTGCTCCTTGTGCAGGGGGTCTGAAGGGATGAGTGGGAAACAGAACAATGCTCACAATGCAGAGTGTCAATGAATCCACCTTCAAGATTTAGCAAGGAATGTAGCAGCTCATTCCTTACAGAAACCCCTTTCTCTTCTCAGTCCAGTATTACAATTCTCATATTTTATTGCCAAACCTTCCAACAGAGCAGGGACTTTGCTGTTGCTGTACCAGCAGATGATGGCAGTTCCATACATGTTAAACACTCTCTCTGAATGATACACATTTTCTCCAGATAAATCGTGACAAAAATCTGGTTGAACAGAATTTGGAATAAAGGCTTATGACCCTTTTGACAGATTAAAAATAATTTCGAGAAAGAGAGATTAATGTTTTTGTTTTTTTTTTTCCAACTTATTTTCAGAGAGAAAAAAGAAAGAACAAGGTCCTGAATACAATTTAGGACACATACACACACAAAAAAACCACCAAACCCAAAACTAAAGAAAAAAACCCACTTGACCTTTAGGTAAAATGCTAAGCAGCATTTATTATTCCACTATTGTAATAAGAAAGAGGCAAACCATGAAAAGGCTGAAATGCAGGTACTGATCAGATGTCGTTTCCAAGCACCAATATTTACTGGATTGTTTCCTCTTACTTGTTGAAGAATCCTATGGATTATTCCTTGAAAGCAATTTAAGAATCTCCTGCTCAAAAATGTATCTGCTCTGATTTAAAATTCCTTGAAAACTTCTGTCTATTTTTTGTGAAGAACTGGGGGTTGTAGTTATTTAAAAATTGTTCTCAATTAAAAAGCCTCTGACTATAGGGACAACATAACTGGAAGCAACACAGCAACATCTTAGAGGTGAGGAGCTGGGCTCTGGTTTGGAAATAATGCAGGAGACACACAGAAAAATGAAATTAAATCAATAAAAATGTCTTAAGATTTTTCCATGTCATGAAACAAAAAGAGTCTTTACCAAAACAAAAATTTAAAAAAATTAATAGGTTTGTGCTAAGAAAGGAAGAAGAAGAATTTTTGAGCTCCAAAGGAAACCCCAAAAAAAAAAAAAAAAAAAATTCTGAAAGTTTCTTATTATGTCTGATCTGGTGAGATCCCTGCTCCAAGTAGCAAGGCTGCAGATATGGAATAAATATTCATTCATCAGCTTCTGAGAACCAGACACACATTCAGGTCTGTGCCAGCCTGCAGCCTTTTCATAGCCTGGATTGCAGCAAATTTCAGTGCCAGATCTCTATTAACATGAGTAATCTTTATTTTCTGGGAACACTTGATGTTGCAGAAAGGTGCTCATGTCTAGAAATGCCTACAGTTCCTCCCATTTAACAAGAAATAAAGAAAATATTTTGAGCACTAAAACTCGAATATCATCTTCTAAAGACTTCATAGAGAGGAAAAAGAACATGATCCAGACTCAGGCATAATGTGGATAAGTTTTGCTTTACTCACAGCACTGGCATAAATTGTTCTACAGAGATAACACTGCTAATAGAGGCTGTTATTGCAACACTAAATCAAGGCCAGATATTTGGAATAGAGTCTTTGACTTGCTTAGTCCATGGTGAATGACTAATAATAAACCTCTGAAAATCTGTTATTAAAGAGCAAGGTTAAAGCAGTTCCTAAACAATGTTTAAAGTAAGATTTTAATTTTAACAGTGTCCTTTATCTTTTTCTCTTCTGTGGTAGAGAGCAGCTATGATGGAGAAAAACAAAACTCCTTCATGATACTTAGGGTAATAACCATCTCTTGGGGGAAAAAAAGGGGAAAGGAAACAGAAATTATTAGTTGGAGTAACTGATTGCTGCTCTTGCTGTTAAAACTCCATCCTGTTCTCCTCAAGATAAACATGAATATATGAGAGACAGGAAAGGAATAATACAAATGGGAAATCCAGTCTGTCTCATCCTCAGCTGGCAATTCTGATTTCATCTGCAAATGTGCTGCTTGGTGAAGGTGGGCACGTGGATTTCAGCTTTCCCAGAGATCTGGAAAGATTTCACAGCACTGAGCCAAGCCTATGATTTTCCTTTCATTTTGGGTCACAGGCTTGCAGATTTTTGCTTGCCCTCCAACCCAGACAGCTAAGCACAATGAAGGAAAAAAAAAAAAATTAAAAAAAGGGTGTGAAGCAAATGAGGTGGAAAAAGCAACACAAAGGTGAATTTGGCAGGAGCTTACAACTCACCACTTATTTGGCTTTTACTCCCAGCTTCAGCAGGTGGAAATATCATCTGGATTCCTCCAAAGGTCTGTGTCCCTAGATCAGAGGATGGGAGGCCCCATGGCATCACCATGAAGGTGAGAGCTGAGAAGACAGGGACTGAGGAAAACTTGTGATGCCCAAAAAAGAAGATGCAGAATGGTTTTCCCCAATTCTGAGAGTTCAGGCTCCTGCAGATCAGCTTTGGTCACTGCACTCACACTTGGTTTTTCTCAAATGTGCTCTTAACACCAGCTTTGACATGCTATAAAATATATATAATATATTTATAATATATATATTATATATATTTTATATATAACATATTCATAATATATATGAAATATTTATATAATTTATATAATTATGATTAATATTTTATATAATTTATAGAATATATATTTTTATACAAATATTTTGCTTTTAGCCTCTTTAGTTTATTTGTTAGCTGCAGATGTAAGGCATGTAGCATGCTAAAACATACATGAAATGTGTATCACTGCATGCAAAAGGACAATTGGAAATTTAGTTTCCTTGGACAAGTTTGAGTGCAGGCTTCTCCACAGGGTGACTAATGGCCTGGCAAGTTCTGACTTGTTATCAGTAAATTGCAGTTTCTAATATTACACTACCAAAAAGGGTTCTGCAATTGTTATGAAATCAGGGTGTGCCAAAAAAACAGAGAAATCTTCACGGTTGAAGATTTCCTGGCATAAATAAATAGGTACAGAGAAGCAGGGAGTAAACACTGACTCCTTCACTGTTACTCAATAAATGAAATTTTCCTTGAGAGACCTGCTGATTCAATGAAGCTCAAATTTGGAAATATTTGTAATCAGAGGAGTGTTTTAAATCCATTCCAATTACATTTTCTGAACAGTGTGTGGAGGAAGATGTTACTAAGGTAGATGTTTATTACTAACTATTGATTGTTTTTAACATGAGCAATTAGCTGCCATTAAGGGTGTTTTAAAAAAAAAAAAAAAGCACATGGGGAAAAAGAATATATCCAAGAAAGAAGAGTCTTACAAACTGAATTTACCTTCTTCTCCCCTCTGCACCTGCATGTTCTGTCCCCACCCTCCTGGCCCTCCAGCTGCTTTTCCTGGCAGTTTACAAATTGCTGTTTCCTTTCTCTGCTGTCCATGAAGTTGAATAATGCTAAAACAAGCCTGGCATTTGGAAACCTGCATTTGAACCAACTGTGTGTTTGAAGGACTGCTGAAATCACTGCAGCTGATTCACCTTTTTTGCCTCTCTGAGCACACAGCAATGGGGAAAAGGAAAGAGAGGAAAGGGAGGAAAAGAACATCTCAGAGGGCATCTTGTCCTCAAACAGAATGGGGAGGGACACAAGCCTTGCACAGCCCTTGGATGAGTCCATGCAGCATCCCCAGAGGGGCAGAGCAGCACTGGGTGTGGCAGGAGCCTGGTGTGGCTGCTCCCTGCTGGAATCCTAGGCATGACAGAACAGATCCTGCTCATCCCTTGGTCTGAGAGGTGCTCTGGGCACCTCTGAGCCACTGACTTGGGCTGCAGGATGTGACCAAAAGTGTGGATTCTGTCACCATGTTAACCCAGCTGGGGCAGTGTTCTTTATCTTTCCCACAGCCCATCCTTCCT